CTAACTCTGACCCCACCCCAGCCCCGCCCTAACCCAACACTTACCTTACCCCTAACTACTCCTCTATGCGCAAAATAAATATATACAAAATATATACCAAATGTGCACAAAATAAAAATGTAAAATAAAAAATATGGAAATAAAGAACAAAAAAGTAAAAAAGTAAAATAAAAGTGTTAAAATGAAAAAGTAAAAATTAATCAAATCAAATGAATCAAATAAAAGTAATAAATCAAATAACAATCAAAATAACAATCAAATGAACACCTCTCCTTATCTTCTCCAACCACCAACTCCTCTCTCCTCCACTTGCCTCACTACTAACCCACAATCGCCCCTGCAAGTAGGTGCCTTTTAAGGGAGAAGCAAGTGATGTCACAAAGGAGGGCAGGTCCTTGTCACCGTGGCAACCCCCCCCCCCCTGGACCTGGCCTCTCCTGAGAGGTGATGCTCCTCTGTCAGAACTTGGAGGCACCTGCTGTTCCGCCTGCTGCATCTTCTCCTGGCAGATTCACCTCGACATTTCACATCCTTCTTCCTGCTGCCCCATTTCCAAAGGGAGACCATCCCCACGTCCTTTAAGGCAGGCTTGGGGTCTCCATAGTGCAGGATTCGACCATCTGCTTTGCATACAGGTCTTCTGTCCTGGGCAGCATCTCCGGGGGGGGGGCTGGGAATGTGTGTCCCCCATATGAAACCCTGGAGAACTGCTGCTGGTCAGTGCAGGCTAGTTGAAGAAGGATATTGAGCAGCTGGAAGGTGAGCAGAGGAAGGCAACCAGGATGATGAAGGGTCTGGAAACCAAGCCTGATGAGGAACGGTTGAGGCAGTTGGAAGCCAAGCCTCATGAAGAACGGTTGAGGCAGCTGGGTATGTTTAGCCTGGAGAAAAGGAGACTGAGAGGAGAGAGGAGAGCCAATATCTGAGGGCTGCAAGAGGGAGCAAGCTTGTTTTCTGCTGCTCCACAGGGGAGGACAGGAGAGGAGATTCGGACTAAACATTAGGAAGAACTTTCTGATGGTAATACTCTCTGTGACAGTGGTGGACTCTCTTTCCTTGGAGGCTTTTAAGCAGAGGTTGGATGCCAATCTGTGAGGGATTCAGCTGCAATTTGGGAAGCGCATAGCACTGACCTACTTTACAGGGTTGTTGTAACCACACAGGGCTGCTGAGCATCCGAAAGTGCCTGACAAATGTTGAGCCTTCCATTTCATTGTGGGGAACAGCTGCAGCGCATCAGGAGGCGTCCCTCAACTTCTGTTTCTTCTCTCTCCTCCAGCCAAAGGGGCTGGGCTGGATTACCAAATAGGCAGAGTAGGCACTGGCCTATACTTTTTAGGGGTCCAGTGACAATGGATCAAAATAATATTGATTTGATCTTGAAAGAAAATGACAATCAAGCTTTCTTAGTTCAATGTTATTCCAGTGTGCGCACGAGGCCTGCCCCCGCCCAGATTTTGACTGCCAAGGGGCCTCCACTGGGTTTAATCCAGCACTGCCCCGTAAACAGCCCAGTATATGCAATAATATTGAGCATTTCAAATGTTTGTACAGAGCACTAGCAAAGGTGCAAGCTCCTTCTGGTGGGTACATATGTGTTGGAAGGTATATGCTTGAGGGTTTCCTATAGACATCTACCTGGCCACTGTGAGAACAGGATTCTGTTCTAGATGGGATTCATCAGGGCTCTTCTCAGTGGCGTAGCTAGCCACTCGGGTGTCGGGTGTGGCCCGTGCGTCCTGCAGCCGAGGGTGGGGCAAGCCGCCCATGGGGGTGGGGGGCGCTGCGTGGAGCCTCTCTGCCGCCTCCACCTCAGCTGTAGGGCGGCTGAGGGAGGGGCGATGGGCAGACTAGGGTTATCAGACGTCCCCGTTTCCTGGGGACAGTCCCCGGATTTGCGAATAAGTCCCTGGACAAATTCTATCCCCAGAATGTCCCCGGATTTCATCTAATGTCCCCGGGAAATGCAGCAGTGGCAGTCTCAGCAGCCCAGAGCAGTTGGCTCTGGCTGGCTTCAGGGGCTGCTTGGAAGTTCCCATGTGATGGTGGTGCAGGGGCTCTAAGATTCAGCTTCCGGGCTGCCTCCACCTTCCCTGACCCCAGCAACTAAGCTGTGAAAGGAGGCTTCATGCTGCCTATGGGAGCAGCCTCCCAACTCCTACTTGCGTGCACAAGGCTTCTGTGTTTATCCAAAAAGCATAAATCTAGAGGGTGGTAGAGACGGATGAGCAGGCGCTGCTTGAAACTTATGGTCGGAGGCCCTCTCTCAACCACAAAGTTTGAATGGCCCTTCCAGTGGCAGTGAAGCAGCCCAGCAATGTTCCTTCTTCATTTTGATAAGAATGCCTCAATGGGAAACATGTCAGGAGGATGCATTGGCGATAATCTCTGCTAGCTGCCCCACTTTGTGTCATTACATTGTCCATGAACTTCCTACCTGTGCTGTGGCAGCCCACAGCTATTCATCCCAAATAAAAATGTGCTGTGGCAGCTTCGCCACCACTGGATGACGAGGCTACACTTCCCTTGGATTTAAGGATGGACAGGTCAGTTTATTTCTGTTTTGGACCATCACACAAGGGCCAGGGCAGGTCAAAAGGCCCTCTCTGCTTGCACACATGTAACAATGAATACTGAACTGAATAACTGGATTGACGATGGTGATGGGTATTTTTATACTGCCCTTCATCTGGAGATCACAGGCAGTTCACAACAAAAGAATACAAAATGAGAACACAAAATACATAATGAAACAAAAACAAAGCAATGACGCCCTCCCACAAACACACACTATCAAATAAGGAAAGGGGAGAAATAGCGCCTTTTTTAAACTGTTTGTATTAGTCAGTGCCAACCATTAAAAAACTTACTGCCAACTCCCACTTCTGGCATTGGCAGCTTCTAGCATCATAGATTAGTGTGGGCGGTTGAGAACGAGACAGGCCCAGAATGTTGGCACTAGTTCTGGTGCAACAGTCATTGAGGTAGGTGACACGTCGCTCAGTCCAGCCAATAGAAGAAGCGCCACGCAGCTCAGGAAATGCCCAGGGGCCAGGCGATGCAGCAAGCCACGTAGCAATGGCGGTGTCAGGGAGCGGGAAAGAGTATTGGAGAGGTTGTCAAGATTACAAACAATCCCCACACTATGGAGGCAGAATTAGAGAGTAGCAAAGGAAGAGAAGACCTGTTCTACACACTGTAGTTCTATAATAAGCAATTTCTTGTTTAAGTCCTCTGACCTGCTCATCATTTAAGCAGAGAATATTATATTCTCCACTAGCAAGCCCTGCTGATTGAGGGCCTGATCCTGCATCCACACTGGAAGAAACCACAGGGGCAGTCCGTCCCCCCACTTTGATGCAGTCATACCTTGGGTTGCGAATGTGATCCGTGTGGGAGGCATGTTCGCAACCTGCAGCGCCGTGTCTGCGCACATGCGTGATGCAATTTGGCGCTTCTGCGCATGCGTGTGATGTTATTTTTGTGTTTTTGCACATGTGCGAGCGCTGAAACCCGGAAGTAACCTGTTCCGGTACTTCTGGGTTCGGCGCAGTTCGCAACCCAAAAACACGCAACTCGCAGCGTTCGCAACCCGAAGTATGACTGTACGGTACTGGAAACATACTACAAATGCTCAAAACAATAATAATTATTCAAGTACAGTAAATGTAAGCATTGTGAATTGGGGTAATGTTGGCATTTTGGGAAAAAACAACTTTTCTTTGTGGACCTCATATTTTAATGTGGCTCATTATTACTATGATTTAGGGATGATTTTAATGTTTGTTGTCTTACTGTGTTTTAATTTGCTGGAAGCTGTCCAGAGTGGCTGGGGAAACCAGATGGGTGGCAGAGAAATAAATGAGGATGAGGATGAGAATGAGGATGATGATGATGCAATTGATCATACTCATCAGGAAATGTTTTCCATAACTCCATACAACAAACATACAAAATATAATAGGAAATAAACCCTCTTCATATAGCGGATGCTCTGGTTCTCTTTAAGTCTGTTGGGCTCACTGCTGTGGTGTTGCCTGGATGTCCGAATGATGTGATGCTCCCAAAATAATGCCCAGCGCTGCAACTGTGAGTTCCCCTGTTCTTATTTATCACAAGGCTAATGATTATTAGTTAATTATTTCATTTATGAATTTCTTCCCATCAAACACCCTTTTGGTGTAACATAATCGTTTTTATTCTTATTGTAATCGAGGAGCAACCAGGCTTAAGAGACGAGCAAGAAAGAATAGAGAAGTGTGTAATGGAAAGTGACAGAAGCATGCAAGGTTTAGACATAGGAGCAGGAAAAACGCCTAGCAATCTTGTGTGTGGAAACACTTGTCTTTGTGGCTAGGGTGACTGTTAGACCATACCACTGAATGCCTTGCACTCATATGACTATAAAAACTGTGTGTAAACAAAGATCTGGGTTCCAGCCTCTGATGGCTTTTCTGATCACTCGCTGTAGCCTTTTCTGCTCAGGCAGGAAACAAATCTTTGCTTTTAGAGTATTCTCAGGGGTGACTTGTTGTTGCTAGTGAGTAAGGGACTCGGTTGTGCGAATGGACTTTAAGTGGTTTCCCCCCCCACATAGTAGCACATAGGTAAAGGTAAAGGGACCCCGGACCATTAGGTCCAGTCATGACTGACTCTGGGGTTGCAGCACTCATCTCGCTTTATTGGCCGAGGGAGCCAGCGTACAGCTTCCGGGTCATGTGGCCAGCATGACTAAGCCGCTTCTGGCGAACCAGAGCAGCGCACGGAAACGCCGTTTACCTTCCCACCGGAGCGGTACCTATTTATCTACTTGCACTTTGATGTGCTTTCGAACTGCTAGGTTGGCAGGAGCTGGGACCGAACAACGGGAGCTCACCCCGTCGCAGGGATTCAAACCGCCGACCTTCTGATCGGCAAGTCCTAAGCTCTGTGGTTTAACCCACAGCGCCACCCGCATCCCACATAGTAGCACATAGCAATGTCCATTCCACTGACCAGTCCTTCCTCTCCTGCCACCCCCAAACCAGGTGAATCCTCTTAAATCTGCTATGCATCCTATTCCACCTTTGGCTGATGTGCCTCACTTGCTTCAATTCCTGCAGGATGGGATAGACAGCCCTTACAACAAGGGAATGAAATAAACTCTGATTCACAGGAATATCATGTGGGGGTGGAATTGCATGTTAAACTAAAGCTTTGTGGACTACTTTTAATCATTTCAACTGCCTTTGATCTTTGTTGTCTTTTTTCCTGTGGAGGAGGAGGAGGGGAAATCCTAATTTTCACAAGCAAGATTCATTTTAGTTGCACTCTATCCATACGCTTCAGGAAGAACAAACAAAACAAAACCCAGGTTTATTTTGCTTCCTTACCAGGAATCAATCTCTGCTTTTATTATTACAGAGGGGTATGTGTATATTTTCAAACAGCAAATCTTCTGGGACGCCTTGTCAGTCTTGTCATTAAGAGACATTCTTCTCCAGTAACCGCGTTGCCCACTGTCATATTCAACTGGAGCAGGGTGCTGGCCTCTCTAGCGGCTTCCAAAGATACTAGGAACCAGGGGCGCTCAATCCGGCGGTGCTCATAGACCTTTGAAGCAAGGATACCACACAGATGCGATGTAGGCATGTACTGGAAGTAACCAAAAGCTCTTCGCTTCTGTTTCTCAGAACCTAAAAAGAATACACAAAACCTGACAACTCTGTATTCTTCTGAATTATTATTACTATTACTATTATTTAAATTTCTATACCTCCTTTCCTCCAAGGATCACACAGAAATATATAACACAGTAACAAGCAAAACCAACAAATCCTCCCCCTACACAAACTTGGCCATTGACACCTCTAGCAGGTCAAAAAAAATTCACAGTCCAGGGGTACAGAGCCATGAGGCACAACTTATACGAATAAACAAGACCACAGGATAGCACCATAGGCATGATTTGGTGGAAATTGGGAGCTTCCCCTCTCTGTTTCACAGAACCTAAAAAGAATATACAAAACCCAACAACTCTGTCTTGTTCCGAATGTTCATACACTGCCCTTCTTCTGGTTGTCCTCTTGGGAGCAGCTGCATTCTCCTCCTCCTCCTGGCCGAAGCTTGTCCACTATAATAATGGACTTAGTTACATCCAGTTCATTGTTCAGCTTTGCTATGAATCTTAAGTCCGTATTTTCAAAGTTGCTATTTGGCAAAATTATCAGAGAAGCCCACCGGCAGACTCTGAACCTACCTTGCTTTTATAGTTCGTTCTTCTGAAACATTATGCAGAAATCCTTAATCTGATTTGGGGAAATCCTATACTGCCCCCGCCCCAACGTACAGCTTCAAAGGCAAAAGATAGTTTAATTAGCCAAAGGTGTGGGAGAAGAGGAATGTTTTTGCCTGGCGCCTAAAGATATGTAATGAAGGCACCAGGCGAGCCTCCCTGGGGAGAGCAGTCTACAAACAGGGAATCACAGAAAAGGCCCATTATTGTGTTGCCACCCTCTGGACCTCTTGCAGAGGAGGCACATGAAAAAGTCCACAGATGCTGATCTCAGCGTCCGAATTGGTTCACATGGGGAGAGACAGTCCTTGAGGTACTGTGGTACCAAGCTGTTTAAGACTTTATAGGGCAAAACCAGCACTTTGAATTGGGCTCAGAAACTAATTGGCAGCCAGTGCAGTTTGGCCAGGATCAGTAATACATTCAAACCGTCTTGCCCTGGTAAGCAACATAACCCCATCAAGAGCAGGCCACTTCCCATCCATCCGGTCTAGGAAACTGCCCACTAACAGTGCCTCAGTCTCATCTGGATTGAGCTTCAGTGTGTTGGCTCTCATCCAGTCCAATACCAAGTGAAGACAATGGTCCAGCACATCCACTGCCCCACTGTAAAGGAGAAGTGGAGCTGAGTGTCACCAGCATATTGCTGACAATGTACTCCAAATCTGCAGATGACCCCACTCAGTGGTTTCATGTAGAAACCAGCCTGGGGGATAAAATCGGACCCTGAGGAACCCCACATTGAAGGCTCTATGGGGCCAAAGAGCACTTCCTAAACATCACCCTCTTGAAATATCATCCATGTAGGACCAGAACCATCCCAAAGCACCCTAACCTGCACAGCCTCTCCAGCAGTGGCGTGCAGTCCATGAACTAGTGGGACTAGCCTAGTCCCCTTAAAGGTTCCCGGCAGGACCTTTCAGTGTACCTGCTTAGCCAGTTTCTCCAGGCTCTGTGTATGTGTGTGCATGTGCATGTGCATGTGCCTGTGCCTCTCTCCCTCCCTCCCCCCCCCCTCATTCATTACCTCTGCAAAGGCTGCAAAACAGCAGGATCCTGCAGAGCAATACACACAATGAGCAGGAAGTGGCTGCTTGAAGCAGAACTGCAGCCCCTTCTCCTTCAATTTTTAAGGAAGAGCAGTTGGAAAGCCTGAAGTACCTATGGCGTGGGGGGTGGAAGACAAGATCCATGCAACCTTAATATCTCACTTCCTCCCTCCTCTCCTTCTGCCACTGTGTGTGTGTGTGTGTGTGTGTGTGTTTTGAAAGCATGGGATTTTAATACAGTGGTACCTCAGGATGCGACTCCCGTAAGACGTAACTGCGCGTCTGTGCGTGTGTGGGTCGCGTTTCACCGCTTCCACGCATGCGCGTGACGTCATTTTGACAGAGGTCATCATACAGTTTCTGTGCCAAAACCAAACCTAAACCCTGATAGAAATGGATCTAGAAAATCAGTTTCCTCCAAGAGCACCTTTGTAGTAATTCACTGAAGTTTCAGAAGGAATCCCTTGATTTTCCTACCTGCTAAGAGTTAATGGGTTGCTTTGTCTTTGGCCCTCAGGCTGTATTATTATTATTAATATTATTATTTATTGAGTTTATATAGTGCCCTATACCTGGAGGTCTGTAGCATGGGGTTGGTGAAAGACATAGACTGGTTTCTTGGTTATTCACTCAAGATTCTCCCTTGGCTTCCTCCAAAAAACTGATCTCAAGTAGGGATGAGGGGTGGGAAGGAATTTGATGCAGTTCATCTTTGAAAATAAAGGTTTGAAGAAACTCTCCAACTACACATTTATTTTGCAAGGTATTGCCTTTTTACAGTTTTTAAAACAAAAGCCACTAAGCTTTTCAGATTTCTGAGTCTGCAACCTGTTGTTTGCCAAAAGCCTTCTGGTTCAATCTCTCTCTTTTCTCTTCATCTTTCTTCTTCTTCTTCTTCTTCTTCTTCTTCTTCTTCTTCTTCTTCTTCTTCTTTTTCCTCAAGAGCTCACAAAAGGTAAGCAAATGACTATAAATTGTTGAACTGAAGCCCCATCTAAAGCACAAGATTGAAAATGGCTATCGTCATAAAGCCAGGAGACGTTACTCTTGGCTGAGGAGCCAAAGAGAAGGTGCTCACAAACAGAACTTACCTGCACCCACCAAAACAAAGGCGGAGCCTGCAAGCAGGAGAGGGAGCCACAAATTCATCTTCAGAGAGCTAGAAACAGGGATCAGGCAGAGGCTTCCAGGTGGACAGAGAGGCTCAAGGACTGCTGGGAAGAACTGGTGAGTCGAGTGCTTCTGTTGGCCTATAAAGACACTGAGGACCAATCAGAACCAGTTCATTAATCAGAAATAATCCTGCTCACAAAAAAAGCAAAAAGCAAACAGAAGCTTTCAAATGACACTTTCATTGGCGAAGGGCCAAAGTATACTTTTTGCCAAAAATGTGCTTCTTTCCATTGAGGGCTCGGTCAAAGTTTCTTTTTCTTCAATACCACAACTGAAGATTAGAGAATATATTGTAAAATATGCTCAGAGGGGAATATTTTCATTTCAAATTACCATTTCCTTTAAAAAAAATTTTTTTTCACTCACATTGCTTTCTGTTCTTTGAATAGCCGTCAATCCATTTTCATTCATTGTTAAGAGAATCATAGGGTTGATATCAGAATAAGCAACAGCCTTTAATAAAGACCCACTGCACTGAGAGAAAATCAGGCAACAAATAGGCCTTGTACCTAGGAACAGAAAGAGAAGTGGCCTTCCTGAATTGTCTGTTCTAGTTTCTCTTTTGCATTATTCCCATACTGCTGTCAAATACAGAAATGCTTGTTGATACTAAGTAAAAATCCCATTTAAAATTTACAACTGTGTTTGTCTTCAGTGTAGTCAGACAAAACCTACTCTGCCACCCAGGGCTGTCTTTAGCAGATGTGGCACCGGGGTGCAAATATCCGCCCAGCACCTCCAAATTACCACGGATAGTGTTGAGGTGACCATAGCTGCGCACTGCCAGTCATGCAGGGAGGGCGCAACTCTTCCCCATACCACTGCAGGACAGCGATCCCTGCAGAGGCTTGGGAGTGAAGTTGCACCCCTCCCAAGCCTCCTTGGGAGGAGAGCAATCCCTGCAGAGGCTTAGGATGGAAGCTGCACACCCGCTAGCCTTATGGTTGTAAATGTAAATGAGACCCTATCTGCCCGGAGACTGTCTCGCCAGAGTGGTGCATGCTCTGGTTATCTCCCGCTTGGACTACTGCAATGTGCTCTACGTGGGGCTACCTTTGAAGGCGACTCGGAAACTACAACTAATCCAGAATGCGGCAGCTAGACTGGTGACTGGGGGCGGCCGCCGAGACCATATAACACCGGTCTTGAAAGACCTACATTGGCTCCCAGTACGTTTCCGAGCACAATTCAAAGTGTTGGTGCTGACCTTTAAAGCCCTAAACGGCCTCGGCCCAGTATACCTGAAGGAGCGTCTCCACCCCCATCGTTCTGCCCGGACGCTGAGGTCCAGCGCCGAGGGCCTTCTGGCGGTTCCCTCATTGCGAGAAGCAAAGCTACAGGGAACCAGGCAGAGGGCCTTCTCGGTAGTGGCGCCCGCCCTGTGGAACGCCCTCCCACCAGATGTCAAAGTGATAAACAACTACCTGACATTCAGAAGACATCTTAAGGCAGCCCTGTTCAGGGAAGTTTTTAACGTGTGATATTTTAGTGTATTTTTGGTTTCTATGGAAGCCGCCCAGCCAGATGGGCGGGGTATAAATAATAAATTATTATTATTATTATAAAACATACTTATGGTGTCAGGGGTGTCCCAGCCCGTTTTGCCGCCTGAGGCAAAATGGAAAGGTGCCACCTCCGCCCCTGCTTCTGTCGAAGCCTTGTTTACTGGGGTCCCGCCACAGCAAGATTTGCAAGAGTTCTGTGAGATCTCACCAGAGGCTGCCATGTGACCCTGGCGGTGGTGGCAGGAGTGGCAACTGCAGGCAACTGCTCAGCCCCATGGAATTCAACAGCCTAAGGCGACTGCTTCACTCTACCCTATGGTTGGGCCGGTCCTGTGTGGTGTTTGTCATTGAAACTAACTTGCACAGGTTTGCATATTAATAGATATAGACTTAAACATTTGTATAATTTGTAAGATACCAGGTAAGGTGCAAGGGGGGGATGAGGAAGGGGTGGAATGTTGGGGTGTGCCGTGTGCTGATTGGCTGAAGGTGTGGAAGGTGGTTAGAACAGGTGTGTGAGGGAAAGAGCAGGGTGGAAGGTGAAGGAGTAAGGGATAGCACATGGTAAGATTAAGATGTGCATTAGGAATAGAGTTATCAGCAATGCTATGAAATCCAAAGTATGCAAACACTGCTACTGAAAACAAACTATTTGTTATATGTTACTAAAATAATAAAGATTTGATCATTCAGCCTATGCCGTGTATTTGACCAAGCTATCAAGCGTGTGGCAAAGTCAGAGACTTTAGTACTGAAGGGTGGCCGTGGAATGCCAGTACTTAGAAGATTGGTTAGAAACCCAAAAGGGACTGGTGACCTGAAATATAGTACTCTCTTGCTCTTAAGTGGTGGTCTTGGGCAGGGGAGGGTCTGGCACTACTCACAGTGTGACATCATATTTAGTTTAGATCACCCCTGCTGGCTTCAGAAAAAGGAAAGCAGAAAGAGATTACTTCCCAAAGAAGCTGGATCTTATAGCTTCGGATATAGGTAGACAATACTCATTGCATACTGGTCGGGCTGCAGAAGGCAGGGAACCTGGCAAAGCCGCTAACTGCCTCCTTATCTCCCTCACAACCATTAGCCACATTCAAGGCTCAAACCTTGGATTCACCCATGATGTGGAGCTGGGAGTGAAAGGGAGCAGAACAGCCACTTCACATTACCAATCAGATGTGGTCACATGTGGATTGCTTGAGTTTGGGGGCTCAACAAGGCACAGATTTGACCTTGCTGTAGTCTTGGTGATATCCTGTTGTGATCCTGAGGTGCAACTGGGATCTCTGTTGGGCTCAGAATGATCCCATCTGCTGGGGGGAGGGCTGCCTTCTCAGCTGTGAAGAAATAGTTCAGTTTCCTAAGCCAAAATGCTTGCCTGTCTGCGTAGTGCATGTGTTGCACTCAATCACTGCTCTAGGTGTTTTCAAATGTTGCTTGCTATGGCATGCTGGCTCTCAAATACTGCAAAATTTTGGATTCCACTGCATAATCTCTGGAAACACTGGTACTGAGCCAAAAGTTCTCTGCAAATATTGAAGGTAAATTTTCTCTGGATGGGCAAACATTTGGATGGGGATTATGTGGCAAATGTTCTGCCCATCCAGAGAAAATTTACCTTCAACATTTGCAGATAATATAATGTGTTCCAGCTCCTGTTCACATTGTCATCATCTGCTATCCTTTGCCAAGCTTTTCCTTTTTGATCACATATTCTATACACTGTATAATCTGCGCACTGTGCTTCACTGAATCAGTCGTAAATTAAGGTATTGTGTTGACATAGGTATCATTTCTAATGGTATTTTTCTGCTAAAAATATCTGAAGGGCACTAGCTCAAGGAAAGTTGCTTGCAGATAATTGGAAGTCACAAACAATCTGCAGTTGAGTCTGGATCCAGCTCTTCATCCTCCTTCCCCCTCCTTGTTGTTTTCATTTTTGATGGACCTTCATCCTGTAGTCATGAACGTATGAAGCACCATTCCAGCATGCTGGAAGAGTTGATGAAACTACCGTTTCATCCTGAATAGATTAGCAAACAGAAGACACATCACTGGCAGAAATAAACTAGAAAGCAGGTGATGATGGTTGCCATGTGCCACAGACTATGTGCTAGGGATTCAATTATGTATGCTTAATTGTTGGTTTAAAACTGCTATTGTCTTTTAGTCTCCTCCTCATCAAGTCCAACAATATTGGTGCAAAGGAACATGATACATACAGTCCAACAATACAGGAGGGTAGAAGAACCATAAATGAGATGAAAGTGACAGATTTTGAGGAAGGGAATAAGGCACAAGTTGACTGTGGAAAGAAGAATGGGAGAAGAAATTACAGAACATGCGTAAAAACAACTTTGAAAAGCATGTGGTGGTAGGAACGGAAAAAGGAAAGGCCTTCTCCACTTCGATCCTCAAATTCTGCTATGTCAGGTGGAAGGCCACATTCCCAGCTGGCAGTCTGTGAAGGAGTTTAAACGCTTTCACAAACACTTGGGTTGCTGTTGGCCCTAGTTTATCTAAGGGTCCCTCCTCGGAGGTGAGGCGGAGATTGAATTCAGTGGCAGTTAAAAACCAAGACTTAATCCGAAGAAAGGGCACGTAGCCCATGGCACATTGCACACATCATCACATGCTTTCTTGTTTATTTGCACCGGGGGGTGGGTGGGTGTTTTCACAGAAAAAGGTTACTTACTAGCTAATCCGTTCAAGGCTCCAAAACTGCATCAGCTCAGCCAACGCATTTGATTGGAAGGTTGTGCCTTTATAAGAAAGAGAAGTTGGATCCAGGTGAACCGTCAGTTTGTGACATCCCTCCAAGAATCTTGAGAATCTTCCTCTCCTCTTCAGTGATCATCATGAAATTCTGGGTCCTCCTTTTGGTTGTTTGGGCTGCTTTTGCCATGGTGTCCGCAGGTAAGTAGTTGACACTCATTGAACCTTTTTACTGATAGAAGGATTAGGAAAATGTGTTTATTAGGGGAAATTGGCCCCCTAATGCTGATGAATTTTCATGCGGTTTAGGTAAATAGGGCAGTAGAATAACTTCAGCCAACCTAGGCTGCCAATGACTGGAAGGAGGTCTCACACTTTCCTACTTTCTCCCTCTAGGACCATATGAAGGTGAAGAAGGGACGGGTGAGTATCTTGGCATTCAAAATGTGAACCACTATTTCTCAGCAAAACTGTTTGCCTCCGTTTGCTACCCTTCCCTACGAACATAAGATGAACGGGCTGGATCAGGCCAATGTCTCATCCAGTCTAGCATCCTGTTCCCACAGTTGTCACAGGATGCCCCTGGGAAGCCTGCAATATCCTATGACCGCAGCAGTACTCTGCCCACCTGCAGTTGCATTCAACTCATAGCAGATGATAGATTTGTCCTCCATGAATTTATCTAATCCTCTATTAGAACCACCCAAGTAGGTGACCATCACTGATTTGACCCTCTTGACTTTGCTTTTCAACTTTTGCCCGTCCCGTGATTTTTGGTTGTCTCATCTTTTGAAATCAAATTTGACTGTGTTGGGGTTTTTTTGGCAATTGGCCATTCACATGTATGTTTGGTTTAATAGCACTGTGGGCACGGCTCCCTCCTGGCTTGACAACACATCTTCCACCAGGTCCTGAATGCCCAGAATTGCCACCCTTCTAGTCACATCCATGACCAACTGTTCTAGGGTACAAACATTTAGACTTTCTAGAAATCCCCTCTTTGATGTACAAGACTTTCCTGTAAATAAACTAAGTAGGCAGGCTTGCTGTGACAGCGCAGAGCTGCTAAGGGCACAGGACATCCATGGAGTCTG